CTTTTTGGCACCTGAAGGCTTTAGGATACGTTTTTATTATCAAAGACACATAGTCCTATTCTTAGGAGAGCCAGTCTCATGCTCAGAGCCTTTCAGCCCCAACTTAGCTGCATAAGAGGGGCCCTGGGCCCGGGACACGTCCTCGCCAAGAGACGAAGAGCCCAGTCTGCGCCAGGCCTGTCACCTAGTGTGGGAACCTCTTTCCTTGTTTTGGGGGCCGTGAGTACTCTTGTCTCAGCTTAAAGTGTGTGCAGAATATAGCACCTGTCCCACCTCACTGTGACAGCTGTCCTCCAAGGGAAGGACAGGGTTCCTTCCCCTGCGGGATGAGAGGGGTGCGCAGGGGCCACAGGTCTTGCTCTGTTTCTTCTCTATGTGAAAACAGCACTGCTCCATCCCGCGCTGGATGGCGCTGTGCGTCCCTTGGCAACTCTGATTCCGAGACGTAGTGGGCAGGAGTGTTTGGAGTCCTCCCCCGGTATTTGGCAACCAGCGCACGGTGCTCTGCTTGACACCTATTGAAAAATTCTAAGCAATAACCGTTTGGAGGTAGACTGTGCTCAGCGGCTTCAGTCTGATGTTCACAACTACAGACCAAGAATGAAAGAGGCAGTGATAACGATGAATTGAGAAAGATACCAAGGACTGCAGCAGTACTCAGAGCAGGTTATTAAGACAGAGGAGAGATAAGGAGTCAAGAGTCGGAAGACTGACCCTCCCCACCCTTTCTTCCATCTGTACACGCACATGTAAAAATATACCAAATCTCACTCTGTCACTTAAAGAAAAGTTTAATGCCACTACACCAAGTCAACCAAATAAGATTCTCTTCTGAAAAATAAATACCTTATGTTATTTGCAGAAATATTTCTTTCATGTGTTAAACAGAGGTTATCAATTCCTATATTTACTGGAATATAAAATGAAGCCTTCTTCACAGCTATGCTTTTTTCAAGGAATAAAGGACATAATAAATAAAAGGTAGTGACATTGAAGAGACAAGACAACACTGGGTAGATATTAAAAGGTAAAAGTCAATTTTGATCTAAAATTTTCGTTATAAACTCTGCAGAGCGATGCTCAATTTTTAGACTGTGTTCTCTGGAGAGATGCTGACCCGGCTTGAATACCTTTATCTCAGTGTTTTCTAAAGAGGGCAAAAAAATTATCTAAATGCCTGAATAATTCTCCAGCAGAACACTCTGAAAAAAGAACTGTGTCCAAATGAAGAATGCAGAGAATAAATAAAGCAGATTAGCAGTGCTACTCTGGGGTGAGACAGTGTAAGGCTCAGTAACATGAGAAGTGCCAGAGCAGGGCCTGCCCCCAAGCTCGTAAATAACCTGCAGCCCTCGGAGGCGTCCCTCCCCACCTGCCGAGGCCAGGCAGCGCATGAGGAGAGCAGGACCTCGCACCACATCTCCTGACTTGAACAGTGTCACAAGACACACTCCAGGTAACAGGGGCAGAAGACGGTGGAGGAAATGCAGCCTCCTGGGAAATCCCTCACGGGCCAGATGTCACACATGCAAGTTTTCACCTTGGTCTTTGTGCCTGGATTAGCGGCTTGGAAAGCAGCAAGTTGCGGGCTTCAAAATGACGCCATCTTGGTCTTTAAGGCCAAGGGGGAAAGAAGACAACAAAACTGTCTATTTGGAGGGGATTTTGAATAAAACCTCCTGCATTTATAAATACTTTCTTAGGTAATCTACATGTGTTCTTCAAGGTCGATGAATAAGAAGTAAATTTGTGAAAAGCTCTGGCATAATTTAACGTTTTCTGGTCCATTCTAGGATTTTCAAAAGCTGGGCTGGCAAAGGGAAAAAGAGGCTATGTAACACATTTCCTGTATGATACGCTATTGCCTCCAAAATCTCGACATTAGGTTCATATTGTTAAGCTGACAGTGGGAGTGGAGAGAATTTTTTTTAAATAAAGTAACTTTCCTGCACTCATAGCTCCATGGGAGTGGCCTTGGCTCTGCTACTTGATCTCTTTCCTCAATATTCTGGTCGACGTGCAGCATAAGGGCCAAAAATCTATCACAGACACAACTCTGGCTATCAGCCATGGAGCCCTGGCAGGCTGCGGAGGGGTAACGAGAGTGAGTGACTCCAGTTAGCTGGAGGGACTCAGGCTTCTGATGTGCCGTGATGGAGTCTTCCAAGAATGTTGTTACGGGTTAGCAAGATGGTACTGGGACACATCCAAGTGGATAAAAGTTGCATATGTGTTGTAATATGGGTAAGAGGTGACCACACAGAAGATTTCAAGAATAAATGAAAATGTTGAAACGCAATGAAGTAACACTGATGAACCGATTAAAATAATGCAAACAACATGGAATTTGCCAAGAACACTGCCATAGGATCTGGGCCTCATTTATCATTCTGCTACTTTTCATGCTTGTTTATAATTACGAGCAGAGATCAGTGCATGGCGAGTGCAGCCACTGAGTCAGTGTCACCATGTAGGGTAGCATCTGGTCACTTGACAGTGTTGGTATGTCCCCAGTTGGAACTGCTGCTAAATCAGAACACAATTGGTCGGCTCTGAGTAAATTTTCTCTTTTATCCAAAGTCACATAATTAGTGAGTGAAAGGATTGAAAATCATGAATCAAATTTCTGACTCTTATCCAATGAAAATTTTGTAATACAATGTTATATGTCAGCTATAGCTCAAATTTTAAAAAGAAGAAATACATAATCTGGAGAGACCTTTAACAAGTGGAGAAATGAAACAAATCAAAAAAACTTATCCAAAAGAAAATTTCTGGACCAGATCACTTCACTGGGTGAATTCTACCATGTGGTTACAGAAGAATTAACATTAATTCTTCACAAACTCTTCCAAAAAACAGAAGAGGAGGGAATACTTCGGAAGGCATTCTATAAAGCCAGAATTGCTCTAATACCAAAACCAGTTTTCTCATAAGAAAGAAAACTATAGATCAGTATAAATTATTAATATAGATGCAAAATTCTTCAACAAAGTACTAACAGATTGAATCCAGCAATATATGTAAAAATCTTATGTTTTATATGAATTATATACCATGACTAAAGACGTATCCCAGGAATGCAAGGGTGGTTCAATACTTGAAAATCCATTAATGTAAAACATCATCATATAAATATAACATTATGCTAAGTGAAAGAAGTCAGACACAAAGGACCAAATATTCAGTAGCAGCTTTTACCCTAAGACCCATTTTACAGGAAAGTTGGGTAAAGTGCCTGGGATGGCCTCTAGTGGCAAGTGTTGAGGCGAGAGAGATGCGGAGTTGGAAATTCACAGAGGACATCTCCAAAGAAGGAAAAGGTAACCTTGTGATGGAAAAGAGCATAAGAAAGGGAGAACAGCCGTCCTGAGTCAGATTCTTATGTCATGCACTTCACTGTTCTTTCTCTGACAGCATCTTTTTTATGGGAACATGGGTATCTTCCTCGGTATCAGCCTCCAAAGGGCATCCTCTCAGAACACCTCATTTCTCGAGCTGATGCATCTTTTGCATGAATTGATCTGAACTGCTTCTGTATAAGCATGGCAAAAACAGTTTGATATATTCTAAACTGATTTCAGTTCTACAAGTCTCATAAACTGAAAGCACTGAGAGCATAGCTGGCACACTGGCACCACTGCTCAACATGTTTTCTGTCAGAGGAGAATAACAGGTTTCAAAAAGAAACAAGAATACAGAAAAAGAGAAAACGCGTTGTCTTTCTCCATCAGAACTGTGTTCAGTAGCTCACGATTCAAGCACAGTAGAAATTTCAATTAATGTAACACTTTTGTTGTGGCCTTTGGGCCAAATAGGCTCCCTGCATTATCCCAGACAGCCCTGTCCCTACCTTTTTATTTCTAGTAAGATAAAGGTGAGTGTGTGACGATCGAGGACACGTTCCCTTTGTCACGTGCAGGCATGCAGGCATGCACATTTCCATGAGCTTTGGAGACGTAAGCCCCACAAAGGCAGGTCATCGTCTCTTTCGACCACCAATGTATCTCCAGAATCTAACCGGCTAGCATCGTCAGTGCTCGATGGTTCTCATGTTCACTGTTTCTAAGAAATACAGTCTAGCATCTACTGATTCACACTCATGGTTTCAATATTCATGTTGGTCATGCCAATTTGAATGTCGGTTTAACTCGATAAGAAGCAGGAAAAATCAAATCAAAAAATCCAAATAAACTATTTTCTTCAATCATGAAGGGGAGAAGGGATAACTGTTAATTGGCATCATACATTTTGTGTTCCCATTATATTGTATTCTTCCAACAAAACCAAGTTATTTATTGTTTTCTATTTCAGAAGACATACTTTGACATTTTACAGTTTTCTTTACATCTACCCCCAAACAGGTCAAATTATGCTGAATAAACAAGTAGTGGAACCCTCCCCATTCAAGCTTATTTCTGTTTTTTGAAACAGATGACAATTTAAGAGCCCAAATCTGAACCAAAAAGGGTAAGATAGCAATCTGTACTTGCAGTTTCAACCCCCAAAACCTCTAACAACTGTAACTTTTAAAATAATCCCTTTGGTGGTATAACCTTACCTCACAGCCATACACCCTATTAGTACTGTTAAGAAATATATAGAATGTGCACCATGTTACTTTTATAAAATCTGGAAAATCCTGAATTCCAAAACTATGGTCTTGTAGCTCAATTGAGGTGAGGGGTCGAGAGATTAGAAGAAATACCCTGTGAATTATATATTTATGTTTAAGTAAGGAAGTTGGGCAAATCATGATCTATTTCACCATTTGGAAAATAAGGGAGTTGGACTAGATGACATCCAAAATCCTCAACAGTGATTAAATTCTAGGATTCTACCTGATCAGTTTACATCCTGAAACACATAACAAATTATGTTCAATTTGGACTATTTTGAAACTCTGTAAAATTACGGGCATTTAACTTTGCCCACAACGTGTGACAAGCACACATTATTAGATGTCTCTTCAATTATGCATTTTAATTCGATTTTAGTACCTGCTGTGCCAAACACAGATGATATGCCTTCCATAATGGTCCTGTGGATACTGGGATGAGAGAGGACAAACCCAAGTGTCCAAAACGTAACCTTAAAAAGAAAAATGTACATCAAAAAATGTAAGCGTGGAAAGTGAGCAAAACCAGACCCAGTATTAGCCACAAACATCTAAAAGAAACAGAGAAAATATTTACATTAAGTTTAAAAGCATGTTAGTAAACAGCATCTTTGAAAACAAGTAGATTTTATGAACAAAAGAGATGTTATCTCCAAGGAGTCAAATTTATAATTTTATTCTGTTACTATAGTTTCACCATATTGTTTTTATAGATTAAACTATCTTCACTAAAAATGGGGAAAGCAGGATTTTTTAATTTTACTAATACGCAATATAAAATGTTACACAGGCACACAGTAGATATTTAGAAACAACAAATTATGACACGTAGGAATGTTAATCCAAAACCAAGATATTTTCAAGATTTAATTTCCTCACAATACAAATAAACCAACAAATCATATATTCTGCATATGAAACATGGCAATTTTAAATAATTCCCAGAAACTATCCCTAAAATCTCATAAGCTCAATTATAAGAGTACTCAGTATCAAAAATAGGGTCCTTTCACACCCAACTGGACAAGCTTGCAAGTTCCCAGGGTATCACTGAACAGAGCATGTGTTCAAGTTCTCGCTCTAGACCAATCAGAATTATTTCCTATCTTTCCTCATTGTTGTATTATAAGATAAAATTATACTGCTACACATCAAAGACATCCAGATGGCCAACAGACACATGAAAAGATGCTCAAGATCACTAATTATTGGAGAAATGCAAATCAAAACTACAATGAAGTATCACCTCATACCAGTTAGAGTGGCCATCATCAAAAAGTCTACAAATAACAAGTGCTGGTGAGGATGTGGAGAAAAGGGAACCCACGTACACTGTTGGTGGGAATATAAATTCCCTCACAAGGGAATATAAACCCTGTAAACTGTTGGTGCAGCCACTGTGGAGAACAGTATGGAGGCTCCTTTAAAAACTAGAAACAGAACTACCACATGATCCAGCAATTCCCCTCCTGGGTATATATTCAAAAAACACAAAAACATTAATTTGAAAAGATACATGCACCCCAATATTCACAGCAGCACTACTTATAATAATTAAGACTTGGAAGCAACCCAAGCACCCGACAACATATGATTGGATTAAGAAGATGTGGTGTGTGTGTGTAAAATGGAATATTACTCAACCACAAAAGAATGAAATACTGCCATTTGCAGCAACATGAATAAACTTAGAGAATATTATGCTTAGTGAAATAAGTCAGACACAGAAAAACAAACACTATGTGATGTCACTTACATGTGGAGCCTGAAGAATAATACAAATGTGTGGAGCCTGAAGAATAATACAAATGAATGGACAAGCAAAACAGAAACAGACTCTGATCCAGAAAACAAACTTGTGGTTACCAAACGGGGAGAGAAGAGGGGAGGGACAAATTAGGGGTCTGGGATTAACAGATAACAAACTCCTATATTAAAAAAAAATAGATAAGCATCAAGGATATACTGTATATACAGCCCAGGGAATTATATACAGTATCTTGGAATAACCTACAATGGGGTATAATCTGCAAAAATACTGAATCTCTATGCTGTGCATCTGAGACTAACACAGGATTGTCAACAAACTATCCTTCCTTAAAAAGAAATTAACTTTCCACTAACTCAGATGTTTTTGCTTCTACTTTTAGGTTACACATTAAAGGCAACATGTATTAAATCATTAAAAGAAGCTTGGGTTTCCCTTTCATTTTTCCTTCTGTAAACATGTATTGTGAGAGAAATTTCATCTAAGAAAATCAGTTCTGAAGAGGCTCAGCCAACATTTTTGGTGTAACTTGCCTTCTTCGCTTTGGGGAGGGAACGTTAAGTACTTTAAATAATCCCAGCGCTCCCCCCTGTGGTCAAAAGAGGAAGAGCAGTCGCCCGTAAGGAAGTGCGTGGACAGAGGCAAATTCAGTAGTGTTCAGTGTTTTCCTCCGGGTGACCTTAAACTGATACAGCAGGGATAAGCATGGTGCCATTTACATGAATTAAGTGAACGGCAGCACCAGCGCCTCCATGGTCCTGAGACCCACTCTCTCTGGCATTATCCATATTAGGAAAGACTAAACCTAGAGACCATCTAATTCATTTCTGCTGAGGAAACATGCTCCGAGAGCTCTCTCCCCCTAGTCTCCCCTCTCGGGCTCTTTCTATAGCATCTACAGGCAGAAGTGCTGAGTTGTTGACTTTAATTAATAACCACTCCACGCTCAATCCATCTTATTTAGAGTCATGAGCTCATGAGTGGGAAAAATAAATCTTGGTGACAGTACACAGATTTTCAGTTACACAAAAGAGGGGCTCGGAGTTTCACGTGTTTGATTAGAGTTTTAGAGATTCACTAAAATTGGGAAATGCGTATTTTTATGGCAAACTCAAGGAAGTCAGCTAAACTGTAAATGACCGCCCAATGGTGTTAGTTATTGTTTTGATGCCTCCTTTACAGATTTCTCTTCTAAAAATCTATATTATTTTCTACTTAAAATTTTTTCTAATGAAAAGAATGACTCTTTTGAAAGGAATAGGCATATAAAAGAGGAAAGAGTAAACAAGAAGTTTATGTACATCACTGAATCAACAAATAAGAATATGGGACCTTGGGGTCTTTGCTCATCACATCTGGGAAAAGAGTTAAAAATGGCTCCCATGAATACCAATTAGTATCTTGCCAGTGGGCTCAAGACCTCGGTGAGGGCTGGGCAAAGAGGAGAAGGGCCACCTGGCTCACTGACCAGAAGCAGCCACCACAGTGTCTTTCCATGGCCTTGGAGAGGTAAGAACAAAGGTGAGAGGAGATGGGGAAGAAAGCCCTGTGGGCTGAGTCAGGGAGAAGATGAACTGAGTACGCCCCCCAGCATCTTTTATTCAAAAGAGGGTTTAACAAATATTGATGGAGTCTTTATTCACAGGCCAGATAGTCTTCTACCAGCCAATGTAAACACAAATTTGTATGAGACATCCAACCTGCACAAAGAACCTTCACATCTAACTGGGGACATGAGACTGACACAGGAGGAAAAAGAGCTAAATGTACAGGCAACTGATGGTACGGACAAGAAATGCTGTGGGGGGGACGGGGGAGCTGAGGGTGGGGTGGGGGTAAGGGGGAGGCAGTCACGACTCAAGAGTGTTTAAAAACGGTAAAACATCAATTCTGAGATTAGTTTTGGGGGAAATGTTCTTTAAAGGTTCATTTGGCAGTCAGGAATGTCTTGGAACTCGGAAATGGTTTTCCCATGGAAATAATTTCATAAATCATGGTTAGTATCTTGGGTCGGTCCACTGAAGTTCTCCGACTTTGGTCTCGTAATAGAGCCTCCTGGCGCCCTGTTCCAGGCCTGTCTGAAGCCTGAGCTCTGAGTTCCATGGGCCTTGAGACAGAGCACAGGGTGGAAGAAAGGAGAGGAACGTGACTTACACACAGGACAGGACAGCCCCAACACCTGCACTCTGGCAGGGTGTCCAGCCGCTCTCTGGACGGCAATGGGAGGTCACAGGAGTGGGGACAGCAGTGGCCACTCCCACCCCTGGGCACTTGAGAGGTCAGGTTTTGGAAGCCAAGGCAGTTTTCTATTAGTGGGCCACTGAGAGTAATTTCTGATTGAAACCATGGTGTAACTTTTTTATAAGAAAGGAAAGCAAATACTTACTGAGTACCTACTTTGTACTAGGGACTGTTTCCACTTCTAAAGAATATAATGCTGCAGCCAACTCAGTTTTATTTGTGAAACAAGGAAGTAAAGGCTTGCTTCTCTTAAAAAAAATACGTATATATATATGTACAAAATGTTCACAATATCCTACGAAGTAGGTAACATTAATCCTGTTTTATAGATAAGGACACTGAGGCTCATAGGTAAACAGTTGGCCCAGTGTCACCCAGTGCTGGGATGTGGCTTTGGACCTGACTCTAAAGCCATTCCAGGATCTCTGCCCGCACACCAGCTGCCTCTGTAAAGGGTCAGGAAGAGCCAGCAAGATGAAACTGTTGCTAATCATCAGACACTACATCCCTTCTGAAATTAATGATTTAGATTCTTTCACACCAGTGCCAGGAACAAATTCCAAAGAACCGATTTCCCCTAGGTCAGATCAACGGGGCTTTGTGTCCCTTTCTCATGAGATCTTGAGAATTAATCCTGTGACAGGAGTGGCTGTTTTGTTCCTGCTTTGGGAGGTTGTTTTTTTTTTGTTTGTTTTTTTGTTTTTTTTCTTTTTAATTTTGCTATTGCTTAATCAGTTTCCAAGAAAATCGTATAAGAAAAAACATCAGAGAATAGTATTAGGGGAAAAGATTGGACCATTTTTACTTGCCCACGCCAAATGAAATACTTATTTTAGTGGCTGACATGCATTTGAGCAGGGAAGCCAGGATTTTCTGTTTTCTCTCTTTACTCAATTAGTTTGTAATGGGTTAAAGGAAACGAGAATTTCTGTACTTAGAAAGCTTTCCACAAGCTTCGCAAGAGGAAGGAGAAATAAATAACACTTCACACATCTTATTTCTATTTGTTAGGGGAAAAAAAAAGAAAAATAGCCACATTTATCATTAGAGATGGGTTAAATGTTCTGGTTTACTAGAAAACAAATAAATGAAAAGGTTACCCTTTAATTTCTCAAATAATATTAGTGCCTCTTAAGTGAATGTGAGACCCTCCTGACGCAAGAAAGCAGCGTGCACGGAGCACGAAGCGCCAGACGAATCTCAGGGCTTCACTCTCGTTCGTGACAGCTTTCAAAAGAAAGGGCTCAAAAATCTCTACTCTCTTCAGGAGTGTTGTGAGTTCCAGTGTCACCAGCTCCATGCACGGGGTGGGTTCCAGGACCACGATGCCAAGTAATCCAAACAGGAATGGCGCCCAGAGGGAGACTGGGTCAAGCGGAAGACAAAAACTCACGTTCACTGGGGAGCAGCCAGGTTTATCTCCTTGAACCCTCACAACCACCTCGTAGGAAAGTGAGGCTCACCGCTTATTAAGTACCCAAGTCTAGGACATACTAAGTTTGTATTATCCCCCCCTTTTTTAACCAATAAGGAAGTGGGGGCTCAGAGAGTTTCAGTTGCCTCCATGAGACTCTATGGTGATGGCTGGGGATATCTGCATTCAAAGCCCAGTTCTTCCTGAAACTCCATTTACCTACTCTCTCTCCAATAAATGGCTGAAGTCAAGACTTACTCGTCTTTTCAACACCGGGACTTAGCATGTTGCCTAACACAGAGGGTGTTCCATACACAACTGTTGTGGCAACTGGCCCCAAAGTGCAAACTTTTCCCTTTGCCCGTGACATGCTGCCTTCCAGAGGACAGAATACACTCCAGCTCTCTGCTCACCTCCCATGTGATCTTATCAGATCTTATTAGGCATTCGGTTTTGTTATTCTATCTGAAGAACAAATCTATTATGTCTTTTTCTTCCCCATAATAAGTGAAAAGATTGAAAAAAAAATAAAGAAAAATGAAGGGAAACCCTGAAAGTACAGTAGACAGAAATGCAACCCTTCCTTTACTAATATACTTACAGGGACAGAATTGGACAGAGAGGCCCAAAGTAGTAACAGCCCATAGTTGGGACCCTTTTGTTCATTTGTTTCCATCTCTAAGACATCCAGCATCGCCTGCATTACTGTCTGCTTGAAAGAAATAAATATTGTCAGACCAGGGCTCTGTGATAAAGACTGAAGTTAATAAACAAAGACCATGCATTTTTCTTTCATCAGAAAGACATTATATTTTTGCCATTCTTACGATTGCCAGTTCAGGCATGCTAAAGGATTTGCATATTTAACTGGTTGTGTAGAAATTAGGAGTAGGGTCACCGGAGCTCATTGCTCTTCCTGCATTGGTTCAAATCCTGGCTTCGTTTTTTCTTTAAAGACTATTTTTCAGAGCAGTTTTAGGTTTAACAATAAAATTGAGGGGGAAGTACAGAGATTTGCCATATAACCCTTACCCCAACATATGCACAGCCTTCCCTACCAACAATATCACTCCCTAGAATGGTGCTTTTTTTTTTTAACCGAGGATGAAACTGCATTGATACATCATAGTCATCTAAAGTCCACAGTTTACCTTGGAGTTCACACCTATGTGTTTGGACAATGTGTGATGACATCTACGATCATTTCAATATCATATGGAGTATTTCCACGGTCCTAAAAAGTCCTCTGGGTTCTGCATGTTCATCTCTCCACCGTCCCTAACAACCACTGATGTTTTCACATTCTCCATGGTTTTGTCTGCTCCGTCTGAAAGTAACGTAGCTGCTTCAACTTTCTTTTGACTGGTGTTCACATGGTATATTTTTTCTACATTCATTTACTTTTAATCTATATTAAAGTGTCTTTATATTGAAAGTGAGTTTCTTGTAGACAACATATAGTCAGTATTTTTAATCCACTCTGACAATCTGTCTTTTAATTAGTGCATTTAGATCATTCAAAGTGATTACTGACATTCAAAGTGATTACTGATGTAGTTAGGTAACCACTTTCTGTACGGTTTTTTTTTTAATCAGTCTTTGTTCTCTTTGCTTTTTTCTTTTCAAGGATCCCACTAACACATCCTCTCGCAGCGAATCTTTCCTCAGCTGTGTCCAGTCTACTAATAAGCCCATGAAGGGCATGCTTCATTTCTGCCGTGTGTTTCTTTTTATCTCTATTTAGCACTTCATTTTGGTTCTTTCTTAGGATTCCCAGCTCTCTGCTTACACTGTCCACCTGTCCTTGCGTGCTGTCTACTTTATCCATTTGAGTAATTAGCATATGAATCGTAACTGTTTTAAAGTCCCAGTCTGCTCCCTCCAGCATCCCTGCCATGTATGGTTCTGGTGCTTGCTTTGTCTCTTCAAATCCTGTTGTTGTTGTTGCTGTTTTGTTTTGCCTTATGGTACGCCTTGTAATTTTCTCTTGATAGCCTGCCAAGTGCTGGGTAAAAGGAACTGCTATAAATAGGTCTTCAGAGATGTGGGGGTGAGGTGTGAGGGGAGGGAAGTATTCAATAGCCCTGTGATTAGCACTGTCTTTTTGTGAGCCTGTGCCTCCGGACTGTGAACTGCACAAGTGTTTCTCAGGTTTTTTTCTCCCCACGTAGGTGGGACTGGATGGCTGGAGGTGGCTGCAGTTGGGCACTTCCCTTACCCAGGTTAGTTAGGCTCTGATAATTCTCCAGCGGGTTAAGCTCTGTTTAGTTTCCGCTGCGGGCAGGACTGATTAAGAAGAAGGGAGTGCTCTGGTGTTCAGACTTGTTCCTTTTCCCCGCCCCCGGTGGGAAGCCCAAGGAGATTTTTCTCTGATACTTACTGTGGGAACCTGGTCCAGCTCCCGCAGGGAAGTTTCAAAGACTGTGCAGGCCCCCCCATAACTGTGTCCTGTGGAGTTTTTAACTCTGAGAATCATCCACAGTGAGGACGATTGCGGCTCGGGTCTTCCTGCCCTGGTGCAGGTTCCCATGGCCGTCTCCACCCTCCCGTCTCTGCCCTGGGAAGTGTCAGCTCCCTGTATTTGCCTGTTGGTGTCTCCAGTCTTGGGGGCAGCGGGTTGCCCTCTGTCCTCTCTGTCCAAGAAGAGTTGCTGATTTCTCGGTCTGTTTAGATTTTTGCTTGGTGTGAGGATGAAGTGGCAACTTCCAAGATGTCAAACTGGAAACTGGCCTAGTCGTTCACAAGCCAGGTAACCCTGGGCAAGTTAACTTTCAGCTCTCTGTGTCTCAATTTCCTCCTCTACCGAGTGGTCGTAATATAGTACCCACCTCAGAGGACTGTTGTAAGATTTAAATGAGTTACTACCTGTAAGATACTTAAACTGAGTACATATTACGATTTTGACAAATGTTATCTTTAAAAAAATTTCTTTTGGATAAATCTCCACTCTAAGAAAATGGAAGCAACATGGAAACAGATTTCTGAAGCATTCAGGAGAAAACCCCACCCCTCACCTGCCACGCAAATTCTCAGCCTGCACATCATGGGTAAGGGAGCCACCAAGCCGGTACATTATAAATACGGCGACACGCTAAACCCACGCAGAGCACTGACGTGTGACGTGGATGGTCCCAGGTCAGATCAGGGCCCCATCCGAGGCCACCTACTGTGGTTGCTTTCAGGTCATGACACAGATTCCTTGGAAGCAGTTCCTTCATTGAAAGGTTTCCCAGATTTGCCTTTGCCAACGGTCATCCCCACCACGAGGCAGAAATTCAGACACCGTAACATTTTCATTAAGTGACTCGTGCACTTTGAATCTTAACTGACTCGCGTTAGGCAACAGAAATAATGGTAGCTAATGTCCAGTCACTGCTTTCGAGGCCAAGCAGTGTTTGAAGTGCTTTGCAAGTATTCAAGTATTCGGTCCTCACCGCAACTCCAAGGAGTGGCTCTACTTTCCTTGACATTTTACGTCTGAGGAAGTTGAAGCACAACTAAGTCAGGGGACTTTGCTAGGGGCACGTAGCTTGTCGGTGGGCGGGCTGGGATCCGAACCCCGTGAGCCTGGCCCGGGCTCCAGCCCACACTCTCAGCTGTTCTGCCCCTTAGAGACACAGCCCTTAACTCCCACGGAGCAGGGATTAAGAGAGCTGCACTGCACCAGAATGCAGGGGTTTTGCTTCAGACCCTGCAATACGGAAAATAACTAATACATCACAACCAAAGAAAAGGTA